TGTTTTTGATAAAATATATGTATTTTTAAGTCACATATTATTTCAAATGGTATTATTTTTATACCTCCTTTCATTTGCCCAAAAAATTACTGACCTGGGAAAATATAAAGAAACTGTTCTTAAAGTCTAACACTATTGAAGGAAAAATCTTGAATAAAAAGGCAACATTAATAAGAGAGAAAAAAGACGAGAAATGATTCAAGTCTAACCTCAATCCTGGCTGAAGGTTATTTTTAACTCCCCAGTGTAGCTTACAATTTTTTTCTAATTCTACAATATTTCTAACGAGTTCATATGGTCAAACAAATTCATTCCCACTTCTTGCTTTAAACCATAAACTCACTGCACATACAAAGGGGAAAAGGGGGACAGAAGAAGGCGGGTAAGGCTTCCATAATGCTCATTAGGAGGGAAGTTTTATTTCACTCATGTAAATAAACTATTCTCCCCAGCCTATGTGCTATATAAACTGAAGTTAAGGCCCATTTGCAAATACTAGAAGGAGAGAATCCAAGAACAGATATCCATTTCAGTCAGCACTGTGCCTAGCACATTTTAGGCATCCATGTGTTTGCTTGGCAAAGGACAGGAGATGGCAGAACATACTGGACAGAGAAAAACAGTGTTGAAGTGCCCAGTAGAGAAGGCTGTCCTTCACTTTGAGAGAGTTGCAGACAGAGTGGAAAGAAAAAAGACACCAGACTCATCACCAGGGATCTGGTGGAGGCATAACAGCAGTTGGCCATTCGTGCAATTAACCTTAATTTATCTTTTTCCTTCATCTCTAATGATAATCTGCTTTCCTTATTCTCAGAGGGTACACTCGTCAAGTGAAAAACTACAAAAGTTCCTTTACACAAAAATAAGGTATAATTAAGAAAGTATCTTAACACTGCTTTGGATAACACAAGGTTGTCTTTGTCAGACATTTTGCACGGAAATGTTCCAAGAAACACTGCTGGAAGCTATACCACAATACGGTACTGACTAGATTTAAGCAACTTTTAGTCTAGCAAAAAAGGGGTTATTTTGTTTCTTAACCTACACAAATTACATTTAGCATATTGTTTGCAGGAACTGAGTAAAAGTTCTGAAAAAAAGAGGAAAGTAGTCCTCAAGGTGGGGGATATTATCACCACATTATACTTTCCTCACATTATTCCCTCAACTTTCTTCCTAATGAGGAGGCAAGGCTCACAGATCAGACACGCCCCAAACAAAACCCTGAGGATCTCTCTGAAGCATCCTCCACCATCTGCTAACTTCCCTGCTTAAAAGGGAGAAAGATATGCACACACACCCTTTGGGGAGATTATTCACCGCCCACCTGCTTTGCAAGCCTGTCTCAGGCCTCACACAGGGCGTTACTTAGGAAAGAGGACGCCGAAGTATGTGACAATACCAACAACCATCACACAAGCCCTCTGCAGTCGTCTGCCCCCTAAATCTGAACGTCTCAGCTTCCTGTTTCCCTTCCTAGGTTACAAGTCCCACGGTAACAATGTTTTGGACGAACGTCATACCCCGACTTCCGACGAAGTTTTTTCAGCTGCTACACCACGTGCGTTCCCACAGTCCGGGAAGAGGGGACGCGCGCGGCGATTGGCGGACCGGGCGACCCACGGCGGCAGCGGGCACCGAGGGAGGAGGACGCGGGGCCGAGACCCGTCCCGGAGCGGATTGCAACACCTCTCGGGCGGCATGTGGCCGGCAGAAGCATGGCGCCTTTCCCGTGCCCATGTGGGAAGGGCGTCAGGGACGGACACCTGAGCCCTCCTGGCAACAGCCTTTCCACCTCGGCCTCCTCGTCTCGTCCCTGCGCCCCGCTCTTCCCCGGAGGAAGCCTTCTCCTCACCCAGAGCCCAAGCCGGACTCCAAAGTTCCGGGACCACGTGTCTGCGCCTCCCCTGCCCCCGCATGCATCCCTGCCCAAGGTCCCTCTCCCGGGCCGCCTCTCCCTTCCTCTTCCGACCGGGGCATTCTCCCGGGGGCACGTGCGACAGTGCCAGCCGGCGACACGGCTGAGAGCCCGCTTGCCGGCCCAGGCCCGCAAGACAGGCGCGCAGGGCGGCCGGGCGCTCACCGGGAGCGCCTGCGGGGCGGGCGGCCCGCGGGGCCGGCGCGGAGCCCGCAGCCGTCGGCGGCTCCCGCCCGGGCGGGAAGCGTGGCGGGGCTGCCACACGTGCTCGGCGGCCGCGCCGCCCGCCCCTCGGGAGCAGCCTCTGCCTGCCCGGGCCTGACTCACCGAGAACTTTCTTCTCCGCGTCTTCGCTGCCGGCGGGCGCTGCAGAGGCGGGGGCCGTGGTGCCCGTGGCTGCGGGGGCCGCGTCCCCGCCCGGGTTTCCCGCGGCGAGGGCGGCGGGCGCGGGGGCCGCGGCCTGGGGCGCGCCGCCGCCCCCCGGGCTCTTGGGCGCGGGGTCCTGGGGGCCCGCGGCGGCCGCCTCCGCCGGAGCCTGCGGGAGGGTGGTAGCGGTGGTGGTGGTGGCCTCGCCCGCCTCGCTCATGCCGCCTCCTCTGCTCTCCCTCGGCACCCTGGTGGCGGTTGGTCGGCGGTTAGCGCGGCTGGTGGTCGCGGCGGCCGGGCTCGCTCTCGGAGGCCGGTGCGGATCTCGCGGCGCGGGCGGCGGCCGAGGTGGGGTCGCGCGGCGGAGGCGGCTCGAGCTGTCGGGCGCGGCGCTCGCTCGCGGGCTCCTCGCTCGATCTTACTGCCCCAAAAATGGCCCCGCACAAGTTTTTCTAGGCGGCGCGCCGGCCGGGCGGGGAGGGCGGGGAGGGCGGGCGAGGGAAGAGGGTGGGGAAACTTGGCTCCGAGTTGGGCCTCGGCTCATTAGCATTTAAAGGCGCCCGGCGCCCTTTCCGACCCACCAATCCGCCCGGCCGGCGCGGGGCCGCCCGCGGAGCGCAGGGGCAGAGCGAGGGCGCCGCGGGGCTCCGACTCCGACTGAAACCCGGAGTGTCCCGGCCCGCCCGCGCTGCCGCCCCCGTGATGCAGCGGGGCGGAGGGGTGTCCTCCCTCCAGACAACCTGACACCCGAAAAGAGCCCTTAGGAGAGGTTAGATACAGCATCCCAATTACGCTGCTCTTCGTTCTCCCCAACACTCGGTTTTAAATCGTTCACCTTTGGTCATTCAGTGTGTATCAAGCACCAGAAACTATTCCAGGTACCGCAGTCACGAACTGGAATAATAAAACCTAAGACTATTTGGCAACCAACTCCTGAAAGGTAAGCTACCCATAATGTCATCTATAATCCACAGATGAGGAAATTGAAGTCCAGACCTCAGATAATTAATGTAATGTTTATACCAATTTAACAGCAACAAATAGTGAGCTGTCAATATGTATTTGATAATGCACTTGAAAAAAAGCTGAATAAATCCACGTCCTACCTTCTGCTCCAATTGCCTCTGCCAGCTGGTGAAAGCTTAAGCAACTGAGCCCTCTTAGCCTTGAGGGTGAGAGTTATGGAGAAACAGATTCCCCAATAAACATTACTCTCGCTCTGGAGAGTCCACGTGGCCGTTAGAGAATGGGCTGGATGATGTTAAACACGGCCAAGGGAGTGCGACCTGCACCCCAGGACTATCTAGAAGGCAGGACTGTTTGGCCTCTAGTGTTCAGACAGACTACAAATTCTGGCGCTGCTCTTTACTAACAGTTAGCTTTGGCCAGATAATCAATGTCCTGTGTCGGTTTCCTCCCATGAAAGCTTCTCAAAGGTCCCAGGAAAAGTAGATGAGATTATCATATGTGATTATCGTATGTAACTCCAGCGTCTGCTGCAATAAAAGCTCTTTTTTTTTTTATTCCCTGTCTCTCCAAACCATTACCTATTGTTTTCCCCCTGGAACTTATGTGGCTGTCTGCCCCACATCAGGAGAGCAACTATCAAGTGTAATTCAGCTTTGTGTCTCCTCTGGTTAGCATAGTACCAGCACAGAGTTTGAACACAAAGTGTTTGCAACATTTTTGTTTGTAAACATTTTTTGTTTACAAACAAAGAGGTGCACTTCTTCCAAACTCAATTACTTATATCCACTTTCACTATCAATTATTATGAAACTATCCTGCCTTCTTTGTAGGGGACTGACATATATTTTCCTAGTTTGAGAATTAAAGTTAGTGAGTAATGTATGTCTTCCGGACAGGCTTCCTGTGATAAACAAATCTGATGCCTAGAGGCATAACAAAGGACCTGAGTTGCAAGTAAGCAAGAGCTGCCCTGCCCCACAGCCCTGGGGGTCTGGAGGCCGCACGATTAACACCCCATAAGATGGCTGGTTAGTCAATGACCTCAAGGGAGGGGCGACCTAAGCCAGGCACAGCCACCAGGGTTTAGCTGAAGATCTTAGGGGGTCACCCTTAGAGAAGCTGGGGATGAGAAAAGCCCCCTGTGGCTTGCCTTGTTCATCCTTGCTAATCTCAGTCCGTGATCTATGCCTAGCACCTGGAGCAACCACCTTGAAATTCTGAGCCAGGGGATATCTGCTTCCCTAAGGCTACACATTCCGGAATTTGTGGCCATTGCTGAAATGCCTGGGTGGTTACATACAAGGAACTAACTTTAATTTTTTAGAATATAAAAATAAAACTGACCCAGTGTATTATTACTCAAGTCAACCGTCTGTATGTGTTGGCGTTTTTCTTTGTGTTCTGCATTTGTGTTTTGTGTTCCGTGTTCATCCTCCGTCCTGTAAACTGGCCAGGACACTTCTTATTTTACCCATAAAAATTACAAATTAAAGAAAATAAATTCTTAGGAAAATAGCAAAATATGGATTGGGGGCTTTTCCATGTAATTCACCTATATTTTAAAAATTACACACTCCTAAATGCTGGATTCATATCTTAGTTTGACTTCAATATAGAGCACACAGTAATGTTCTATGAATGTGGATGCTTAAAAAAATGCAGATCTCATTCAGTGCATGATTACGTTATTTCTTAAATTTAAAGATTATGGTCTTAATTAAAATTAAATTACAAGCATGATTTATTCTGGTGAAGACTGGCAATTGACTTTCTTCTCCAAAAGATGATTATCATTGCTATTTACCATTCAGAATTGAATTGCAAGAAAGAAAAATGAGAGAGGGGTTGAGCTCTTTAAACTGATCCAATAGTCAATCCTGTTTTTTCTTTTCAATATATTCTTCCTTGGAAAATAATTCATAACTAACAGGTGTGGTCTCCAACCTCTGGAAGACCCTAAACTAATTACAGATGCACTCTGGGGTTTCCTAGAATTTGCACTGGACTGGCTCCCAAAACTACTCCTCATTTTCATCCAAAAAAAGCAGTGAGCAGCTGGGAGTTCTTGGTACTGTGCTAAATAAATCTACAGAGAATTAGAACAAACATAATCAATGTTGTTTTAATAATCATAACTAGGAAGCAACTTGGGTACAGATGCACATAAATTCATCTGTTCCTTCACTCACTCATTAATTCATGCACTCACCCACATATTTACTAAACACACACTGTGTGCCAATGTGCAACATTATGAGTATCCAATGTCGGTCAAGATGGAACTTGCTCTAAGTTTTTCTTGATGCAATGTTAAATTTTTTTTCACTATCATTTCTACTGAAAAAAAATTTTCTTAAATTTGAGATTGAGACCAAAAAAGAGTTATAATCTACTTGCTGATAACAATCATTTTAAAGCAATTACTGTTTGGTCAGAAAAACAAAAGCCACTGTATTCCTGGTATGAAGGACGTGAAAGCTTCTACAACTGTTGGAAGGGCTGAGGGAGGGAAAGTCTGAGGGGCTTCACTGAATATCTCAGACTCCAGTCCCTAAGCCAGTGGTTCTCAGTTCTCCTGAAGCCACTGGATCACAAGATCTCTGGGAAGCTCTCTGCCATTTAGGGCTAAATCTAGGTTTTGTGACACTTAAAGCTAATACGATTTAGAGACCCTCTTTCAAAAAAATAATAAATTACAAAATTGCTAGGGCCACTCCCAGAGGCTTAGAAAAGGTCCAGGAATTTAAACTTCATTGCTTCAGGGATAGTCCACCCTTGCACCAGCTATCTCAGTTGGCAACACAGATGCAGGAGCTCCTCAAGAAGTTCACCAGGAAGCAGCTTTGATGCCCGCACACCTGTCTGCAACTGACTCTGGAAAATAATGGCCTCCGCTTCTTCTGCCTTCTAAATCTTCAGTGTCTTTCATTCACACATTCCAACCTGGAACTCTACGAGGAATGGGATTCTGGGAAATGTAGTTTTTGCCTTTGAAGAGGCTGAGGAAGATGCCCAACTGACAGGAGACTATCCAGCATATCACCCTAAGGAAGAAAATGCAATTAATTGGCGACAAAGAGGAGGGAGACTTCAAGTCATTTAAGGGACTAGAGCTTAAAGTAAGAAAGCATTGATGTGTTGTTATAGCATATCTGAAACTGGAAAACAGTGAGGTATTAATTTAAACCTGATTGATGCTTAAAACAACACAGAAGGAAAAGAGTCAGTTTGGAATAAAAAAAAAGTAGAAGAATAAGAAAGCAAAGGTTTCTCAGAGTGTCTTTAGTGATGTCAGGGGAGAGGGGACTTTGATTATTGTGCTCTGTTTGGTACTCACTAATAATGCATTCAGCACAGTTATTGATCATTCCTGTTATGTGTTAAGAACGTAATGCAAAACTAGACAGGAACAGCACCTGTTTTTAAAGAGCTTATGGCATAGACCAGCATGGTCCCAAATGAAATACAAGTCAAACCCCTAATGTGAGCCACATAAGTAATTTTAAATTTCCTAGTGGCTACAATAAAAAAGTAAAAAGAAACAAATGAAATGAATTTTAATATATTTTATCTAACCCTATATGTGTATATATATATAATTTCCACATTTAATCAATATAAAAATTATTAGTGATATATTTTACTTTTTTTAGTATTATCTTCAAACTCTGGTGTCTATTTTATACTTTTACACTTATGGCACATCTCAATTTGGACTCAGTGTCGATAGTGGCTACCACACTGAGTAACACAAGCCTCCTCAACAACTAGAAGTTCAGCCTGAATAATTCTCCAGGAACCCATTGTGAAAAAGTCCTGGATCTGCAATCTGGACCACATCTCAGTCTGTGGTGACCCATCAAGATAACACTACCTGTCAGGCTGGCTTGAACTTCCTTTATTACATATAATTTACAAAGAATTTACATGAACCATAATTCCATAATTTTGAATAAATATATGATGGTGTCACTAATAAGCTCTAGGGTATGTAAGCAAAGTTAAGTTACAGTATCCATTCCATGCCACCATGGAAAGCACAAAGAGTGCCTTCATAGACATGCACTCTCCTTCTTTAACTTTCATATATATTGGCCTACCAAAGTGAAGCTATATCATGGACTTTCTTCCTTTTCATTAAAACTAGGGGCCGGGCGTGGTGGCTCACGCCTGTAATCCTAGCACTCTGGGAGCCGAGGCGGGCGGATTGCTTGGGTCAGAGTGTCGAAACCACACTGAGCAAGAGGAGACCCGTCTACTATAAATAGAAATAAATTAATTGGCCAACTAATATACATAGAAAAAAATTAGCTGGGCATGGTGGCACAAGCCTGTAGTCCCAGCCACTTGGGAGGCTGAGGCAGGAAATTGCTGAGCCAGGAGTTTGAAGTTGCTGTGAACTAGGCTGACGCACGCACTCACTCTAGCCTGGGCAACAAAGTGAGACTCTGTCTCAAAAAAAAAAAAAGAGAACTAGGAGTAGGGTAGATATTGGCTGTGACTTGACTCTTCCCTATGGGAAGCTGGATTTCAGGTTCAAATGTTGCACCTCTAGACCTGAGATTATTAAACCAAAAAAAAAAAAAAGTTAAGCAATTACTGAGAAGTTTAAAAGGTAGGTTAAAAATTGATTATTTAGCATATATTGATTTTTATTTAAAAGTTCTAGTTTCTAAAATCTGTGTATTTGTTGCTTTTATGTTTGTTTTTTGTTTTTTTTTTTTGAGACAGAGTCTCCACTTTGTGCCCAGGCTAGATGAGTGCCGTGGCGTCAGCCTGGCTCACAGCAACTCGAATTCCTGGGCTCAGCGATTCCTACTGCCTCACCCCCCGCCCCCGAGTAAGCTGGACTACAGCATGCGCCAACCTATGCCCGGCTATTTTTTTTATATAGTATTTTAGTTGCAATTAATTATTTCTATTTGGTAGAGACGGGGTCTCGCTCAGGCTGGTTCGAACTCCTAACCTTGAGCCATCCGCCCGCCTCGGCCTCCCAAAGTGCTAGGATTACAGGCGTGAGCCACCACGCCCGGCATGCTTTTATGTTTTAAATCAACTATTTAGACAGGTTCTTAATGTTTCTTTAAAGACCAGCAAACTGGTACAGTTTTGATGGAAGAATTGAAAAGATTGTCTTATAAATAAGAACTAGAAAGAAACCTTATAAATTATCCATTTCAACCCCCACTTATTTTAGAAACAAGGAATTGAGGCTCAGAGAGATTAACCAACTTTCTCAAACTAATTCATCTATTTAGTGAGGAAGCTGGAACCCAAACCTGAGTCTTCTTACAACCAATTCAGTGCCCTTTCCACTTTGCAATGCTGATTGGAAAAGTCCCCATGCTCTGGCATTGAGAATAAGAGTGTTTCAACGCTTCTCTTTGACTAAGTTCATCATAATTAGAATCTGGAAAAATGTTGGAACCGTGCAGAGAAATATGTAAACACTCTAAATTCACCTCAGAAATAGAGCAAGTCTCTCTCACCACTAAACATGGTCAGATCTTTCCAATTAGGACCTCTGGAGAGGAAACCAAACAGCTGTGTGCAATTTTATTTTCAAGCATTTTGGAACTAACTTTCTGCAACAATGAATAAAATATATTCTCTTCTTCCTGAAAAAGCTTTCTTCTGACTCTTTCTGCACACGTTGTCTTTTTTTGTATTTTAATTTGCTTTCTTTATTATTTTATCTTATTCATTACTACTTCCCTTTATGTTCTCACTTGTTTAGGAATTAAATCTCATGGAATATCTAACTTATATTCTTTTTTAGAAGGTATATCTTTTATATTCAGATGGGATAATTCTGGAAAATATACTCTCAACCAGCAAATGAAAAAAATGAAAAGTATCCAATATAGCTTTTCAGCTTTACTCTTCAAAATTCTTCCTTTTCTTCTCTTCAAATTGAACTCTTCCTTTTAGTCAGACTTTGATTTAATTTTTTATTAGGATCGCTAACTGCTCACTGCAACGATCTGTTTAATACTCATGTTTTGGAAATATCTGCTTAACAGAATTTTGATGCTCTCCCAATATAGGAACTTTGGGGTAGAAATTGAGAATGAGAAAATTTGGGAGGGTAAGAAGGAAACTGGCTCCTAATAAATTGCAAGAGAGAAAGATTAGTTAAAATTCTTATATAAAATGGCTTAGTCAAAATAAAAATTTAAAAAAAAATTAGTTAAAATTCCATCAGAGTTTTGACTTCCATATGATAAAATCATAATGTTGCAGAAATAAAATACATATATACACACAAAAAAAATTGCCAGAGGACAGCAGTATTTGCTACTGCAGATCTGAATGTATATTTATTTTGGCATTATGGACTGAATATGAACAAGGACTGTAATATCTACCTCTTCCGTGTGTTTGGATCTCCAGAAATCTTACAGCACTGTGAGCAAGCTATTTCTAGTTTTTTTTCCTTTTCTTCTGGCTCTGTCTGAATCCCTTGCATCCATCACTATTGGTCTTTTAATAAGTGTGGGATGGTGGGGAGTTTGAGCAAAAATGAATGTTATTATGGGATACGTTTTGTCTTAGTCCATTTGGGTTAATGTAACAAAATACTTTAAACTAAGTAGTTTATAAGCAACAGAAATTTATTGTTCACAGTTCTGGAGGCTGGGCAGTCCAAGATCAAGCCACCAGCAGGTGAGGGCCTATTCCTCACAGACAGCACCTTCTTTCTATGTGTTCTCACATGGCAGAAGGGCAAATCAGCTAACAAGCTCCCTCTGGCCTCTTTTATAAGGGCACTAATTCCATTCAGGAGAGCCCACTCTCATGATCTAATTATCCTTCAAAGGCCCCATCTTCTAATACTATCACCTCGGTGATTAGGTTTCAATGTATGAATTTTGGAGGGACACAAACTTTCAGATCATAGCACCTATGTCCCTACCAGATTATATTTTACTAGTATTTACAATTCCAGATAATCTTGTTGCAAATTTCTGGAAACACATCTACCTAATGCTGTTTTACTTCAAGACATGAAATATATTTTCAAAAATAGTTTTAATAAAATAGTTTTTCTTTTATTTGTATTCTTTTTGAGGCAAGTTACAGTGATTTGCAACATCTTGACTCTCAGGACAGTTTTCTCTTTTCTTTGGCATTGAAGATGAAAAGGAGTAATCAAGGAAAGAGTGTTTTCATTGATAAAGATGAAACAAATTAGAGTTTTTCAAGATAAAAATAAATGTTTGAGAGTTTAAAACTATACCACTCTAGGAGTAGCCACTGTGAAATTTTCCATGGAAAATAAAAATACGAAGAGTTATGAAATTTCAAAGGGGTAAACAAATTCAAGTAGGTTAATTTGTAAAAACAACATTGCAAGAATCAAGTGGAATGGTTTTGTTTGTTTCCTGAGGATGTTACTTTGTTTGGGTGGTGGTGAAGTAGTGATAATTTTTTATGCATGTATAATAATAATTATTATTATTTTGCTATCCTAAAAAAACTCAACTAATCTAAAAACCTGTATGTCACGGTGGCAGACAATATTAAGAAGTGTGTTACAGTGAAGACACATATTATAGTGTTTGGCTATGACGACTCCCATTCTCCTTTACCTCAATTTCATGAGTGTGTGTTCTGATTCAAGGTTTATAACCTATAACTTCCATGAAATGAGATATTTCCTTAAAGCTAAAATATGAAACCTGACATTCAAAGGGACTTTTCAGGCATATTGAGGCCTAAGAAAATATTACAGAGGAATGTCATTTTATCTGAATTGCGTTAATTAAGTACAATAATGCTAACTAGCTACTTTGTTATAGCAAATAAGAGTAAAACAGAAGAACACAAGTCAAATTGTACCAGGAAAGATCTCAGTTTAGTAGCATCAAAGTGTGAAGGGGGAGAAATTCAGTCATCTGATAGAATGACTTTGAGGTGTCCCTTTGAGGTACCCCCAATCTTTGTGGGCAAAGGGCCATGGTTTGATGTAGTCTTGACTTTCTGTGAAAAGCCAGTAAGGATGTGCTTAAATGGTATCTTATTAGCCAGACTTGATGGGAGT